ATATATATATATATATATATACACACACACACACACACACACACAATTAAGTCCATATATATTTGGACACTGACACAATTTTCATAATTTCGGTTCCGTATGCCACCAGAATAGAATTAAAATAAAACAATCAAAATGAAATTGAAGTGCAGACTTTAAGCTTTAATTCAAGGGGTTGAACAAAAATATAACATAAAATGCTGAGGAATTACAACCATTTTTATACAGTCCCCCCATTTTCAGGGGCTTAAATGTAATTGGGCAAATAAATATAATCATAAATAAAATTTACATTTTTGATATTTTGTATGCCTTAAGTCTGGAATTCATGGACATCATCAAAGCTGGGTTTCCTCATTTGTGATGCTTTGCCAGGCCTTTACTGCAGCAGTTTTTTTGTTTGTTTGTGGGTCTTTCTGCCATTTGTCTTTAAAAAGTGGAATGTATGCTCAATCGGGCTGAAATAAGGAGATTTGACTTGGCCATTGCAGAATATTCCTTTTTTACCTTCAAAAACTCCTGGGTTGTTTTTGCGGTATGTTTTGGGTGATTTTCCACTTGCCACTGGAAGCCATGCACACTCATGCCATCACACTGCTCCACCATGTTTCACAGATGATGTTGTATGCTTTGGATCATGAGCTGTTCCAAGCCTTCTCCATACTTTTTTCTTCTCGTCATTCTGGTACAGGTTGATCCTAATTTCAGCCGTCCAAAGAATGCTTTTCCAGAAGTGGTCTGGGTTTTTTAGATGTTTTTGGCAAAGTCTTATCTGGCCTTGTTTGCACCTTGTGGTGAACCCTCTGTATTTGCTCTTGTGAAGTCTTCTCTTGATTGTAGACTTTGACAGTGACACGCCTACACACACCTACTCACTACTCCTGGAGAGCGTTCTTCACGTGGCTGGATGTTGTGAAAGGGTTTTTCTTTACCATGGAGAGGATCCTCCAATCATCCACGACTGATGTCCAGGCCTTTTTATGTTGCTGAGCTCACCAGTGTGTTCATTTTTCTCAGAATGTACCAAACTGTTGATTTGGTCACTCCTAATGTTTCTGCTATCTCTCTAATGGATTTGTTTTGTTTTTGAAGCCTAACAATTGTCTGTTTCACTTGCATGGAGAGATCCTTTGACCACATGACGTGGGTTCAGAGCAACAGCTTCCAAATGCAAATGGCACACTTAAAATCAACTCCAGAACTTTTACCTGCTTAACTGATGTAGAAATAACAAAGGAATAGCCCACACCTGCCATGAAGCAGCTTTTGAGTCAATTGTCCAATTACTTATGGTCCCTTGAAAAAGGGGGGAGGTACATATTAAAAAGATGAAATTCCTTAACCTTTCCTCCAATTTTGATGTGAATACCCTCAAATTAAAGATCAGAGTGTGCACTTTAAGCACATATTCATTATATAACTGTAACTTGAATATGTTTTGGTCAGCAGCTAAAATAATAAAAATTGTTCCTGTGTCCAAATATATATGGACCTAACTGTACACACATTCACATGCATGGCTTTAAACTTTAAGCCCCAATGTCATTTTGCGTTACAGCAAATGTGATAAACTATTCAACATCGCTCTGATAGGACGTGAATATCCATCAAAATATAAAAATAGACTAAAATGTCTATAAATGTCAATAAATCAATCTGTAGGTACTATAAATCACTGACTACATTTTCTCAGTGACAAAATGAACACTCACTTTTTCGCTGCTTCATTAGCTGTTTTTCACTTGTCAAAAAAGTCACCATACAAAAAATAAAAGCCTTTTGCACTTGCTTTCAGAACTCTTGCTAAAGTTAACCTTTAAAAGACTTGAATATTGTTGGATTCAGGGATATCAAGGAAAAGAAACATAAAAAAGCCAAACAACCAAGAAGAGCGAAAAGAAGTGAAATGTCAAGGAATTCCTAACCAAAGAAAAAAACGAGGACTTCCCCAAAAGGAGGTTTTGGGAAATTTTGTCAGGTGTATCTCACTTTTTGGTAAATATACATTTACATACAGTATGCACAGCATTAAAGCAGTTACACTATTATCATTTTTAGCTAACACTGACAAACAAACATTTCCAGAAGGTCTGCCTTTGACTGTGAATAAGTGTATAATGTTAAGGTTCGCAGGAGGCTTCAGCCCTCAGATGCAGGATTAATATTCCTTTGGCCAGCTCTGGTATTTGGGAGAGGTGTGATTGTTCTGCTGGAGATATATTGGCCCTATTGATTTAGCATTTCCTCTACTGTATGTTGTGCTGCTGACGGGCAGCGGGGGGTAAAAGAGCGGCTTCCTCTAGGCTGGCACGTCCAGGCCTTTTAAAGGACACCCTTAATGCATGTTCACTATTGATCTGCTGATTGACACGTGCAGGCAGGCCCATTCAAAACATCTGCTATCCCTTACACATGACGGCTCAGACTGGCTACCATACTGAGCTATTGAGAGCAGCTTTGCAAAGCATTTCAAGAGTAAATCTATACAGTGGTGTGAAAAAGTGTTGGCCCCCTTCCTGATTTCTTATCTACTTCACTTTGTCAGGCAGGTCCTATTTAAGAGATTTCTTGATTGCGAACAGGTGTGGCAGTAATCAGGCCTGGGTGTGGCTAGAGAAATTGAACTCAGGTGTGATAAACCACAGTTTTAACAGGGGGGCAAACACTTCTTCACACAGGGCCATGTAGTTTTGGATTTTGTTTTCCCTTAATAATAAAAACCTTCATTTAAAAACTGCATGTTGTGTTTACTTGTATTATCTTTGACTAATATTTAAATTAGTTTGATGATCTGAAACATTAAAGTGTGACAAACATGCAAAAAAATAAGAAATCAGGAAGGGGGCCAACACTTTTTCACACCACTGTACATCTTCACTTCTCCTTAACCCGACTGACTGTCTCCAACCTTTGCTCTTAGAAACTCCCACTGAGATCTCTTGGTCTCTTTCTCAATTATTTTTTCAAACGTTCAGTTGCCCGTCAATGAAAGACCCTGAAACATGCTCACGAGAAACCGCAGGAACATAGAAAGATGATAGATGAGATGTCTTCCTTTATGTAAATTAATTTGTGGGTTTGTAGTCTATAAATATGTTAAAAGAAATAGTTATAATACCCAGCTATGAAGAATCCAAACCTGTTTGCCTTACTTTCTTCTATGGAACACAAAAGGAGAATTTCACACCACCCTTTTTCATACCCATGTTAATTTTATTTGATTATTTATTCATATTTTGAATTAGCTTTTATTTTTATATGTTCCGTTTTCTTTTCTTTTCTTTTAAAGTTTTAGTAATTTTGTTATGTGCTTTTGTCATTGGTTGTTTTGCTAATGCATAGCTTTAATTAATATTTATTTCAGGTTTAGTTTCAGTAATTTTTGTATTCACACTTATATATTTCAGTTAGTGTCAAGGCAACCATTCTACCTTAAAATAAGAATTAAACCTATGTAAGTCATACAGGTTTGGAATTACATGAGGGTGAGCAAATGATGGCAGAATGTTCAATTTGGGTAAACTGTAACTTTAATTCACATATAAGAATTGCAACTCACTGAGACAACTGTGTCCATAATGCACCATGAAGTCAGCTCCCAAAGCGCGGGCAGTGAAGTCGTCCACGCAGCAGGCCCCGTATGTCACATCTCCCATCACCAGAGTGTCCGCCTCTGTGAATCTGACAAACAACACAATCAACCAATCAATGACCTTGATCACCACACTATTGCAATTCAGATCAATCAGGCCGTAAATAAAATGACGGTTCCACACAGTTGGCAGATCAATCACTCTCAAGCGGAAATGTCACTCAGACATCCATGTCTCCAGTTAAGTGGGTTCCCGCTAGCCGTAAACTGATGCACTCTGTGCAGTCTGGAAAACCATCTAGAATAACCTTCAGAGACGACAGAGCACTGGACAATGACTAACATAAGCATTCACTGATGTAAACATTCAAGTACCATGTTAAGGTTAATAGCTATGGATGCACACTGTCCTACGAAAAAGTAGGTAAGCTGGTTATCGAAAATTTAAAATGCAGATTCAAACCAGTGGTAATCCATGAGCCATCACCATTGTGTTCTTGAGAAAGAGACTAAACTTTTCCCTCTGTACTGTACCTACATAAGTGCTACAACCATCAATGTCTATAAAAAATGTATTACTTATTATGAAAATTATATTTATTTCTGTCAGCATGTTAGTATTCTATTTATCTCAATGGTACTTACTCAGCTGGCACTTACTCAAAAATCCATCAAAACTAATTTATCTGTTCACACTGGAAAAAAGGGGGTACAATGTGACATAATAACAGTCAAGACATATTTGATGTTTAATATACAGTTATGTGGAGCAAGATTATGGACCGATGAGAGTTCACGAATTCTACTTGCCCTGTCAACATTTTTAGTGGAACCAAACCAAAGCAAAGCAAAACAAAACTAAACAAAAAACTAAACACAGAATAAAACAAAACAAAAAACACAAAAAATATAATTTTAAATGTATACTTTTAAATAGTTTTTAGATTTATTATTTCATATTTTTATTAAAATTAAAAATGTAATAAACTTTTTTTTGCACAAATTGTTTCATGCATTATTAAACTAAGTAGAAAATTCAGAATTAAAAAATTTAAATTATATAAAAAACTTGAAAACCAATAAATTAATAAGTGTGCTGTAAAATCATGGCATACAGTAAAACAGATTTTTACTGATTACCTTGTCATTTTAAACTCATTCTTACTAACTCTACCAACTTCAACAAAGCTTGTGTCAATGTTAGCAAAATAAAAAAATGTGCCTAGCAGTAGCAGACAATTTTAAACAGTTTACAGAATTCACAGCCAAGTGTCATACAAATTGTTTAAATCAGCATATAAATGAAATGCACATACATGATCCAAAAACATGAGATACAGCGGTAACCCAATAGAGCAAGTGACTCAAAATTCCCATTCTAACCTGCATTCTTAAAGGGGACCTATTATGCAAAATTCACTTTCACATGTTGTTTGGACACAAATGTGTGTTGGCAGTGTGTGTACACAACCACCCTATAATGATAAAAATCCACCCACTCCTTTTTTTTTTAATCCCCATAAATCATAAGCAGTGTCTCCCAACTACCTGTTTTCAGAATTGGTGCTAATGTGACGTCACATTAGCCACAGGCCCCGCCCACGAAAGTTGACAGACACTGCCGTTTTAACATAGAACCGCCCTGAGCGAGTTGTACACAGTCCGCCATTGCTGCACTGACGAGAATGTCTCCCAAGCGTTTTAGGTGTTCTGTAGCTGGATGTATGAATCCACATAGCTCTCTCCATTTACTCCCGAAATCTGAGCCGCTGAAGGCAAGGTGGATTAATTTTGTTTTCGAAGAAAATGCTCCCTCAACTCTACCGAAATTCGTTTATGTCTGCGCGTATCATTTTACACCGCACTGCTTTGTGAATGAGGGTCAGTATAAAGCAGGTTTTGCACAAAAGTTGCTCCTGAAGGATGGAGCAGTGCCAACTGTTCGTGATCCAGCTACACCTCCAGAAGTAGTAAGTATTACGCGTTAGTTTTCCAAATTGCCTTTCTGAAAGAGCTTCTTGGCTCTCTGTAAGGCTAATGTTGCTAAAGCTACCATTGTCTGTCTGTTTTCACTAATGCTGCCTTCACATACATATGAAAGCAATGTGAAGTCGACCGCTGGAATTAGTCGAGCTCATAATCACAAGTGGGGCTTATAAAGTTTGTAATAGCATGCGATGGCACCATGAGTTATTTTTTATCGCGCCGTGCTCCCATCTGTGTAATTCATAAATTGCATTTTTTATGCACAGTACAATCAGATGAATGACTTTTAAACAGAGTGCGTTTTCTGTAAAGATAACAGGCTTGTACTAATATCGGAGTGTTTATTTGCAAAGGCTAGCACCGGTATAGGTTGTTTGCAATCACGTGATTCTGATGACGCGCGAAATGCAGCTGGAGGGCAGGAAGTGATTTTTCTCCATAGAAATCACTAACAAAACTAAAAATGCCTGTGTTTTGCGTTGTTTATGGATGCTGAAATCGACCAAACCGAGGAACCACAAGGAGCTTTTATCGTGTACGACAATGTGTTGTTCATAA